ACGGGACCACGCTGTTAACAGAACCATGCTGCTAACAGTGCCATGCTGCTAACAGGACCACACTGCTAACAGTGCCGTGCTGCTAATGGGACCACACTGCTAACAGAACCATGCTGCTAACAGTGCCATGCTGCTAACAGGACCACACTGCTAACAGTGCCGTGCTGCTAATGGGACCACACTGCTAACAGAACCATGCTGCTAACAGGACCAAGCTGCTAACAGTGCCGTGCTGCTAATGGGACCACACTGCTAATAGAACCATGCTGCTAACGGGACCACGCTGTTAACAGAACCATGCTGCTAACAGGACCACGCTGCTAACAGTGCCGTACTACTAATGGGGCCACACTGCTAACAGATCCATGCTGCCAACGGGACCACGCTGTTAACAGAACCACGCTGCTAACAGTGCCGTGCTGCTAATGGGACCATACTGCTAACAGAACCATGTTGCTAACGGGACCATGCTGTTAACAGAACCACACTGCTAACAGTGCCATGCTGCTAACAGGACCACGCTGCTAACAGTGCCGTGCTGCTAGTGGGACCACACTGCTAACAGAACCATGCTGCTAACGGGACCACGCTGTTAACAAAACCCCACTGTTAACAGTGCCATGCTGCTAACAGGACCACACTGCTAACAGTGCTATGCTGCTAACAGTGCCATGCTGCTAACGGGACCACATTCCTAACAGGACCACACTGCTAATGGGACCACACTGTTAACCGAACCACACAGCTAACAGTGCCATGCTGCTAACAGAACCAAATTGCTAACAGTGCCATGCTGCTAACGGGACCATGTTGCTAACAGTGCCATGCTGCTAACAGAACCACAGTGCCAATAGTGCCATGCTGCTCTAATAGAACCACACTACTAACAGTGCCATGCTGCTAACAGAACCACACTGCTACCAGTGCCAGGCTGCTAATGGGACCACACTGCTAATGGGACCACGCAACTATGCTGCTGGCAGGACCACACTGCTAACAGCACCACGCTGCTAACAAGACCATGATGCTGAAAGGACCATGATGCTGACAGGGCCATGATATTAACATTACCATGCTGCTAACAGGACCACACTGCTATTAAGACTACACTGCTAACAGAACCACTCTGCTAACAGGACCATGATGCTGACAGGACCATGCTGTTAACAGTAACAGTGTTTTGATAACACTTTTTTTGTTTTAATTGCTTTATGTTGTTGTGTATTGTTGTCTGAACAGGTCTCTCTTGAAAATGAGTCCTCATGACTCAGTGACACTAACCTGTATAAATAAAAGGTTAAAAAATAATAAAAATGAATGGCTCATGACTTTTGCCCAGTTTCATAAACACACTTTTGACATCCCTACCTCCCCAGAACGGTTTCTCTCCATGTGAACAGAGGGCATGGTGGCCAGCAGAGCCTCCAGCTGCTTGTGTCCCATCTGTCTGTGGTGGATCTGCTCCCCCGTCAGCTCCTTGAACTCCGACTGCAGTTGGGACAGAGACAGCCCTCCCTTGTTGGACTGGAGGATGGCCTGCAGCATCTTCTTCTCCAGCTCCACGTCT